TTTTTTGAGTGTCCTCTACCCTGTTCACTCCTTCTTGTATTTATAGAAAAACTGTTTCTTCTCTGGAGTAGGGTGATTGTGTTTTTTTATTGGGCGGCAAAGATATTTTCCCCCTTTTCCTCTTCTTCTTCACTTCTGGCAGATAGGCTCTCAGATAGGTGATCACTTCCCTGTTTTTTAGCTGCCCCTTGTGATGTTTTACCCGTGATGGTTAGTTTGATTCTTTTTCTGGACAGCCCCCATGCTTTCCTGCTTATCCCTTTCTCAGATTTGTAACTTGCTTATCTATCTTGGGAGAATTACCTTCTCTGTAAAGACAGGAAAATCTCTGTATATACATATATAAAGGGGACTTAATCTTCAGTTCTTCTTGATATCACGAAACCTTCAGTCACTTCTTCTATGGCAGTTGCCATTGCTGACTTTTTCATCCCAGAGGCTGCCTTTGCTGACTTTTCATCCCTGCTGACTTCCGCTATTGCTGACTTTTATCCCAGAGGCTGCCATGTAGGATTGTTCCCTCTTCTGGTCTGGACTCCCTCTTCCTATTTATGTTGGGCCTGTGAGGCCCAACTCAGCTTTGTTTGTTCTGATGGGTCTTGGGCTGGATGTGTCAATTTTTGGCCCAAACACGTTTATAAATAAGAAAACAACCATGCACCAACCACGGAATCAATGAGCAACAAATTTACCAACCTATAACAACAGGTCAAAAAATAGCAGTATCCTAAGAAAACTGAGAAGAAAAAGAAGTGCGGCGGGCCTCGGTAGTCGGTACCGTCAACCGTTCCAATTAGACGCAAGTCTGGCTTCGTGGTTTCCTGATTTAAACTCAAAACTGGGGTTCTTTTGGCAAACTCGCGAACTGCAGCAATAGCGTTCATGTCAGGCAAATAAATATATGTATATAATATATTTACATTGAGGTACAGACGTCTCCAATTAAGAGGAAAAGAAATACCAAGTCTCACCACCTTGATTGCCAAAAGAATTCGAATGTTGCAACAAGTAACTCAAAATCGTGGGACCTTCCCGTCAAGAGGAGAAGTATCGCTGTATCAGTTTCGTTAATCTCAACATCCACGGGTGCAGCGCAATTTAAAGAAATCAAAGGCCGTCAAGGCTCTAGTGGCGCTAGGAAATTTCAGTTCGGGAAAGATTAATTAGGTGATTAATTAGGAAATTTCAGTTCAGGAAAGATTAATAACTTACTCAAAGTTACACTTTCTTGTCTCTTCTGGAGAATTCTTAGTAGGTTTAGGATTAGTTTCCTGTTTCAGGGCAAGATTAATTAGGTGATTATATAAATACATACTTTGCATTCGGCATCCCCAAAACCCCTTCTGCCGTGGCATCCCCAAACCCTAAATTCCCTTTTGCCTCAATTTAAGCATTCCAATAGCAAAGCACATATCATGGGGGATGTATCTCAATTTTCCGTGGCCGCCGTTGATGAGCATACCTCGGGTCAAATGGCTTTTTCATGCCAAGATGAGATACTGGGCAAGATATCGCAGATCGAGAAAACTGTGGGCCAACTGTTGGATTGGTCGAAATCAATAACGCAGGAGTTTGGCTTACTACGCCACGGTCCAGCCATAACTACGACCAAGCCGCTTCCACCTTCCGCGGTGTTTGAGGACTGCAATTCTGACCATGAGGCTGATGATTTTTACCTAAGGTCAGTTCTGAATTCTCATTGTTGTTTTTCTTTTCTTTTTTGTTTAGTTTCTCTCCCTGCTACGCATTTTGAATAATTTGCTTGAAATATATAATAATCAGTTTCTACTAGATATTTGACCCAAGAAAAAAAATCCTACTAGATATATTCTCTCTAGGCAGGGCAGATCTTTGAAAAATGATTAACTTGACTTGTTCTATACATCTATTTTCTCTCAGCTTGGCCGAGGATTGGGAGCAAACATCAATGACGGTAAATCAAGAGGAAGCTAAGCAAATACCAATGACAGTAAATCAGGAGGAAGCTAAGCAAACATCAATGACAGTAAATCAAGAGGAAGCTAAATCTGTATGTTTATTCATGTCTTCTTGTGAGGACAAAGAATTCACTAATACAGTCTATGAAGTGAAATTCAAACACAGAAGAGAAGTCACTCATGAACCCCCAGTAGTTAGACAAGTTGCCAAGTTCCACGAGGGTTCTTGCCTTCACTCTGCACGGATTTTCAACCACTCAGAATTATACTGCATTGGACAAGATGGTGGATTTATTGTTGACACGAGGAGTTGGTCAAAATGTTCATCTATTCCTCCTATCCCATCCTCTAACTCAGTAGAAACTATTGTGTGTGCGTATGGCAAGGTTTATTATCTTGCATGTTCGTCAACCTTCTCACCAGTTACGGAGCACTCCTTCGGGAGATATAATCCTGATCATAAGGTTTGGGAACAAATGACTTCTTTTCCATTTTATGATGATTATGACCACACTATGCAAGTGACTGGTTATGCCGTTTGTTACGGAGTTATTTTGTTTTCATTGTCTGGCCCAAGGGACGGGAGTTTTGGTGTCGTTGCTTTTCACCTGCGTAGAAGGGACTGGAATCGAGTGAAAATTGACACTTCTGCTCATTGTGCTCCTCCTTTCGAAGGGAGGGCCGTGGTTGTAGACGAGACTATCTATGCCTTATCTGGGGATGCAAAGATTAAAGCATTCTCCTTTATGGGGGAAAAATCTGATGCTAATGGTATTTCATATTCCCTCAGGCAACTGTTTATAGTGCAAGGCCTTGATATCGCACATCCTCCGCTGCCATGGCTTAACGATAGGACACAATATTTGGTTCATTTGGGAAACCATGACTTTTTCTATGTCCAGACTGGCAAGTGCGATTCGCATCCCAAGGTTCAATATCTTAGTATCACCACGTTTGAAATTGTTCTTGAAGGAGGAAAACATATGATCAAGACCATAGATTCAATTGTTCATTCTGTGGATATCAAGGGCTCTGAATGGTTTGATCTTGTTTTTTGCTTCACACCGTAAGTTTCCTTCACGTTTCTTGTGTTTTTGTCAATAACATTTAATTTGTACTTAGGAATTCTGTTGCATTTTGTATATAACAAGGTTTCTCGTTCTTATGACAGTGAGTGCAAGGATTATGAACCCATTGGAATATGAATCAACCAAAACAAGAAGAAATAAATGCCATGAAGCTTGAAATAGAAGCCATGCATGCAGCTTGAAGAAGCCAATGATCTGCGAATTGGATATCAGGAATTGTGAAATATGAAAATTTAAAAGCCTTGGATAGCCACCACCTAGAATAAAAAAAATTCCTATTTCCTATAACTTGGTTTGAGACATTCGAATTTGTCTTTGTTGACTTCTGCTTATTTTGATTTTATATTTATTATAATTTTGGCTTAATTCTTCCGAAAGTGAGATGGAAACTATGTACTGTGCTAATCTTTTATGGATTATTTTTGCTAAAGCTGTGACCTGGTTCTATTTTTGCGTCTCCCTTTTTCTGTCCTATGGACCCTCTGTATGATTTCTAACAAGACCTACTGCTCATTTTGATTGAATTGGTTTGTTTGCTGGACACTATAATGGTTTTGGGAACCTGTTTGGGACTAATATGGGAACTGATATAGAAATCATCACATTTCAAATTGCTGGACAGTATAATGATTTTGGGAATTTGTTTGGATATATAGCCACCACCTAGGTGAAATTTGAAACCTACGGGAAAGAAAGAACCCTCAGAATATTGATATGATGGATCTTCTCGAAAAAACAAAAATTGATGCACTGTATAAATTATTAGCTTGCTCTAATAAAGGCATAAATAAAATAAGTATAAGAGCACAATCTCATCTCTATCCTATTTGAATATACACGATTATAGTGTGGCTTTCTTAAAAACAGCACAAATATGACTCATTTGTGCTTACTGATGAACAATATGCCGTAAAAATTTATTTGTGCTATTTTGCTTGTGCCTTATGGTCAATTTTGTAGAAGTGGTTGTGTTCGCATATGACAGACTATATTTCTTGATGCTGCAATAGTCTTCGTATCAATGAAGGAGAAATTGGTGGGAGAGCTGAATGAGGTACTTCATGGTCAATTTTAGAGTTGTTTGGTCGTATATGGTATAAACAAGAGTCCCCCAAGTTCTCAAGTAAGGTGGTGCTTCTTAGTTGTGGACTTGTAATCTTCAGAGCACTGGCCGAGCAACCCCTTAGTCTTCTTCTAAGCAGTATAGTACACCATATCCAGTCCCCCATTAGTAGACTGGTGAAAACATCGCGTAGCAGGACGTGGCGTCGAATGACATCACATCATAATGGAGGTCGTGGTGCTGATGGTATCGCAATGTGTCATAGGGGTGGTGCCGACAATGCCATACGTCGTAAAGGTGTGATGCCAGCAGCATCACTCGCCATTAGCGTGGTACCGTTATTCAGGCCCCCGCTGGTGAGACATTTGGTGTTGCACGAGTGCTAATAACATTGGTGTAGGTAGGTGCCGTTTGGCAATTGGAGAGGTACTGTTCGACAATTGGAGATATGTCGATGGTAAGTTGGGAAGGTGCCACCCAGCAATTGACGAGGCGATGTTCGGCAATTGGAAATGTATCGTTTGGCAATTTGGGAAGTTTCGCCTAGCAACTAGGAGGTACCATTCGACATTTGGAGTATTGAACATCAATTGGGCAGGTATTGTTATTATTTGAAAGGCTTTTTAATTTTTAACGTTTTATTTTTTGTTTTAATATTTTGGCTGTTTTCTTTTATTTATTATGGGAGGTACAATTGTTTAATTTTCAGTTTTTATTTTCTATTCATTGCCTTAATTTTTCTGGTTTAATGTGTTTGGAGGTTACAAGTGTTGGATGCCTATAAAAGACCACTCCTCCTTCACATTTGAATACACCACAATCTGATTTCTGTATTCTCCTACTTTCATATATTCTTTACTTTCCATATTTTTGGGCAACGATTCTGTGGCTTGGAGATTCCTATCCGACTGTGAACGTGCTCATAGTGGACCTTGAGCCTGTGTATTGGGTTCGTATCTTGGAGTCTTGTATTCCGTCAATACCTGCACGTAAGGAGGCTACAAAGACTTTAGTACAGCGTCTTTGACGTGCTTTTACTATACCAGCCTTGCTTTCTTACTCTTGATTTATTTTATTCATTATTTGTTTATTTATTTTTACTTTACCGTTAAAGCTTTGTTTTATATATTATTTATATCTCAAGGCTTGAATAAGAGTTTTACAGAAAAGGAAAAACACAATTTTTAACAACAGGTGTCGCCCAAAATTTTGGAGGTACCGTTTGGCAATTGGAGAGGCACCGTTCGCCAATTGGAGAGGTGTCGATCGTCAATTGGGGAGGTGCTGATCATCAATTGGGGAGGTGTCACCCAACAATTTTGGAGGTACCGTTCAACAATTGGAGACTGGAGTGGGTGGTTTGTTCTAATAGCTCTAGGTGGACTTGGGCTGCTATAAAAAGAGAGTGAAGTTGCCCATTTGCCTGGGTTCAAGAACTAGGCCCCAAAATACCTCGAAAGAATGCTGGTTCTTAGGGAGTACTTTGGTTTTTCTCACTGAGCAGATAATGATTGTTTTGAACTGAGATTTTGGCTTGGCTTGAGTGGCTTGTGGCATGGTTTCAGTGGTGGAAGATAAGAAGTTGGGGGTTATGTAATAAATGATGGCAGTTGGTAAGTGCTGGAAGAAGACACGCTTTCCGCTTTCCCAATAAATAGGCTCAATAGAAATGGGCTTGGGTTTTGGTTCTCCCAAGCAGCCCAAAACATCAATTTCTTGAACCTTTTGATGGGCCTCATCGATCCTTGTAACCATCCACACCACAAACCGCTCAGTAAGCCCTAAGCATGTATGTGGCTTGGACCCACTTAAGCTTATCGGGTGGTTTAGCATAGAAAAATGTATTATTGGGTTGGCATGGCATGTACATTATTTTTATATTTATTAAATTAATTAATTCCTAAAATACAGCTAACGCATACTAACATTATATATTATATTGGGCTTTAAATATCTTTGGACTTCTCATGATATTTTGGGCCTCAACACATGTTATCAATAATATAGTATATTGTTTAAATACTAGGAAAGATTGTATGCCACTTATCTTGTGGAGACTTCAGTATGTGATGTGTTATGCGCCAGGTTGGAAAAGTTGCTCCCACGAAGTTGGGCTTCAGATTGAAAAGTTGCTCCCATCCAGGTGTCTAACGGTAATGCGCATCTTCTGCATGTCGTTATAGATCTAGGTGTCAAATGCCCAAGCACCAAATGCTGATTATAAGGGTGTCAAAGGGCACTGAAGAAGCGGAGAACGACATAACCTTTTGTGTCGATTCCCACAGACGACACCAAACTGTTAATGCTAAAAAATGGACGGCAAAAATTGAGCCCAACTTAGAGACGAGGTGTGATGGATGATGGATGAAGATGAGGACCTTCGGTAGGTGTGTGAAGGCTTGCGCCATCTGCAAGAGGCAAGTGATTGCCTTAGGCAAGTAATGATAAGGGGAAAGTAATTAAATATATAGAAGACAGATGTACGTGGTTCACCCTTAATGAATGGGCTACGTCCACAAAGAAGTATATTCTTATTATAATAATATTTATTTACATTTGTACAAAGGGTAGGACCCGAAGATAAGGGGAAGAAGGGAGAAGACCCTCTTCTAAGTGGAGAGTGGTCTCCTTTTATCGGTTAGGGAGAGTCCTCGCTTCTTGTAATATTCTAATGTTAGACTCTTTGCTGTGCTTAAAGTTGCTTCTAGTTGCTTGGTCAAATATGGTAGAAACATTCTACAAGAAGGGTTTAGCTATCATTTGAATTTATTAATTGTAACGTTTTTTTGGTTCAGTTGATTAAGGGTTTTTCTTTACTGAGCAATGAGGTAGAACAATTACTTGTTGGAAAGAAAACTAGAGTTTCATTTCAAAATTCAATTATATGCTTCAAACTTATGTTGAATATTGATATATAACGTGCAAAAATTCAGGTCCAATAACGATAAATATGGTTGCCTACTGTTCTTTGGACGATCATCTAACAAGATTCAAGAATGTCTGAATTTGGTATTGCTTCTTATTATAGGGTATAAGGCCCTATTTAGTTGATAGAGACGATTATCAGATCATGGGTTCACAAGATCCGGTTACAGCGGATGACAAAGCTAATGTGATGGAGGCCTCAGTGCGCGGGTAAGTTATTCAGATCTTTTGACATGAGCACATAAGCATTGTTATGAGTGCTATAAATTTTCTATTATCTATGTGAAGGAAAGAAAACCTATGATTGATAGACTTGCATTATCAGGGTTAATAATAGTGTTGAGAGGTGGCGTTTCTAACTGATTAGAAGATTCAAATAAGGTTGAAATCTTGACAGAAGTGTTCATTTAGACTCTCTTATCAACAAAGAATTTGATTCCCTGTTGATAAAGCTGATGTACTTCAGATAAGTCTCTCTCTGATGTGATAATACTGTTTTTTACCACTTGTATGAAGTCATTTAGAATAATTGATGTAACACATCCAAGTGGCTTAACATGACTATTTATCAGGAAGAAAAATCACTCAGATTTCGTGGCTGGATGCTTAGAAAGCTGTTTGATGTGGAGGGCTTGTTCTGCAAAAACGATTCAGGGGAATGTTTTTTAAAGAGAATCCACAAGGCTGAGAGGGAGAAACACAAGTGTGAGCATTTTAACAATCTTTTTGTTGAGCTGGCTGATGCTCTTGGTATAACTAGTCTTTTATTTGTTAGAAGTTCAAGATGATTGCTCTTAGTGTAATCGTTTTTGATATGATACTGGGTCATTCTTAATTTGAGATAACTCTTGCACAAAATTAAATCAGCAGAACAATGGAAAGGCCTCTATATTGTGTCAAGCTACTCGACTGTTAAAGGACTTGCTTGGTCAGATTGAGTACTTACAAAAGGAGAATGCATCCTTGTTGTCTGAATCCAACTATATCCATGCACCCATGCAGAAGAAATTGCCACATCCATGGAACGCCAAGCACCTAAGGAAGTACTACCCTTAGGTAGCAAGATGTGGCCTCACACAGGCGCAAACTATTTTTGTCTTTTACTTATCGCCTACTATGTTTTCCTTTCGAGCACGTGCACGATATTGAGCTACCCAACCCAGTGCTGTGCTTGGCTTGAAATCGTTGTAACTCTACTTTCGTACTTAATGAAGTTACGCGTTACGTTTCTCTTTTATTTTTTGTCAGTACTTTATTTCTTGTGTGGTCTTGTTCAAGTTATTTTTTGTTTTGAAAGCCTCTAGTAGGCTCAGCTTATGCAAAAACGCACATGCATGTTTACTGAACAGTAAATAAAACAATTATCTAAACAAAGTAAAACCATTGTAACAAAAACATATACTAAGCACGTCCAACACCAACATCGAGCCAACCAAAGGTCGGCACAATGTTCAAAATAGTTTACAGGAGTTACAAAACAAACGGTGAAAGTAAAAGAAGAGACTTAGGCTTATTCGCCCCTGATCTCGTCTGCAGTGATCACCACTACCTCGCCGGTCGGCTTATTCGCATATCATTGGCTTAACATGACTGTTTATTAGGATGAAAAATCAATCAGATTTCTTGGATGGATGTTTAGAAAGTTGTTCTTTTGTGCATGGCTTGTCCTAGAAAAAATATTCACGGGAAAGTTCCTTAGAGAATCCACAAGTCTGAATCTAGCTATGGATAAGGCACTTCACAAACACTACTACAATTTTGTTAAAATACGACACCCAATAGACGACCCTTTATATAAAAACTGTCGTGGTGTTTTAAAAGACGACGAATGTTATAAAATCGTCGTTGTAAGGTACCTAATACGCTGATGTATTGGGTTGATTTTTAAAATTACGACAATACCTTATTAGGACCGTCGTGATTTTAGGAGGCGCTAAACGAAAATTCACTTTAAGTTCGCGAGCGCGGAACTTTTCAGAAAACCCTCGCTCGCTCAAAGCACTGTACTATCTCAAATTCCTTTCAGAAAACCCTCTCCCTCACATCGATGAAGCACATCTCCCTCTCGCCGTCCACCGAACTAGCCGAGATCGCCATCTCTGTCATGCCGTTTAGGACACTAAGTTCGCCGAGATCACCATCTCTATCGCGCTGTTCAGTCCACCAAGCTCCCTACGTTCGCCATCTCCCTTGTGCTTCCCATGGCAGTTACCCTTCCTCGTCGCGACCATTTTTAAGCCCTCATATACATTCCCATCTTCCATTTTACGAGCTTTAGATTAGATCTTCTTCCTCATAGATCAGAAAGGTACGAAGCTACTTTTCTAGGGTTAACTTAGGATTCTTCTTATTTGATTTCAATTTTTATTTTTTCTTGTTTATGATGGTTGTTTGTCTGAGATATAGGGTTACGATTTGTTTGTTCTTTAATTTCGATGCTTATTGATGTATGTTTTTGTGGTTGGATCTGACTTGATTTAAGCTGTATATGGTTCAGTGGTTGCATTTTTTAACCCTTTTGCTTTTATTTTGTTCAGAACTCACAGATAATCTTAAATTTAACTTGGGTTTTGAATTTCTCTTGTGTTTGCAATTGAATTTCTTGTTTTTATTTCTGGATGTGCCTTGTGCAGGTTTTACCTTTGCAGAAAGTTGACGCACATGTCAACACTATCCATGAACTTTGCCCTTTGTTGCTCTGAGAAGATATGGATGCTTTGCCCATTCAGGTTAGTTAAGTCAACTTAGTTTAAATTCGTTTACCTTAATTGTTGGGTTTGATCAGATTGATATACTCTGTTGCTTTGATCCTTATACTTGTGTCAAGGAAATCAGATACAAATGTTTTACCCTTGTTTTTGCAAGGGCAATTCAATTGTTGGGTTTTAATCACATAGATGTATATTTCTGCTCTGTATTCGTTTTCATTAGCTTTTAATCAAAGTGCTTGTGACAAGTAATTGTGGTAAAAAGACTTAAGACATAAATGGTACAGCAGGCTACTTTTCCTTGATCCATAGAACCGTAGCCTTTCGGGCTTTTGTTGATGAACATGTGAAGTGAAACAGAGAACCCTTTTATCTCCCCCGCAATGTCATACAGAACATGACAAAAGCTAAGCTTTATATAGCTCAAAATCATAATGTAGGAAAAGAGAGAAATAATCAAAAGCATCAAGTGCAGTGTTCAATTTGATGTTCTTAATCAAAAAGCACTTTGTATTGACAACATTGCATCTGCATATGAGTATAGGAATTGGTGGAATGGGAGCACAAGAGCAAAGCGGACGGAAAAATGCATGCTTGTGGCCACGACGCACATGTTGCCATGCTTCTTGATTTCTCTAAGACAGTCAATGAAGTCCACCCAAGCTTGAGTGATCACTCCTTTGCTCATTCCAAGAACTCTCAGGTTTTACATTTGACTTACCATTTGGCTCTCATTCTGACTGTCTAATTTGTTAATTTGGCATCTGCATATTTGTTAAAATCATTGTCTGTGAAGTAATTAGGTGATGACATAACTAGATACTTGCTGCATTTGTTAAATCACTCATGTTTCTGCTTTTCCGCAAGTTGAAACCATGGTTGATTGTCTTACTACCCCATGGTACAACAGCTACAAGTATCATTACATGGAATTCAACAAGTAATTTTCTAATGCGTAATTTCTGATTTAATAAAATCTATGCTCCCTGAAACCAATAAAGAAAAAGTTTTGTTGGTTAATAAATTCCTAAGCTCCTCTGGCTTTTGTGGATCAACTGAATTGATATGAGTAAATGAATTTTTTTCGGAAAATATTCCTAAATAGTTGAGATGACAAATGATATTGAAAGCACACGCTATATTTTGGCATTTGTACTTTAACTAAGTATCTTCAGCATTGGACCATGAGTATCTGGTTTTTTATTTGGCAACATATGGATTCAATTTTTAGACTTATAGTATGAATTCAATGTTATTATCTCCCTTGTTTCACTTGTATATGTTTAGCTAGTACTAGAATAGTTTATGTGAGGTGGATGGGGTAAGAATTATGGTGTAAGCTTTAGATCAGCTAAGTTTTCCAGCTGCTGCTTTTTCTCTAGTTATGATTGTGTAGGCTACTTTTTGCCTAGTTGGGCCAAGTCATTGCCTTGTCTATTGTAACGATCCGTTAAAGTGATGTAACTTTGGAAGTTATGGTCAGATTTTCTTCAATTCTGTTGACGTAGGAGTTGTATATTTCAGGTCCTGGCTCTTAAAGGATCTTATCATGGTGATACTTTGGGTGCTATGGAAGCACAAGCACCATCATCTTACCCAGGCTTCCTCCAACAACCATGGTATGAATTTTTTGTCACAAGACACTTGAAATATTCCAAATCTGTATTATATCTCAACTTTTGGAGTTAATCAGCATCCAATAGAGAATATAGTACTCTTACTCCAGGTTGGCATTATTCTATTGATCTATGATTCTTATTGTTTCAAGTTAAGTAATTATATTAGGTAGCACTATATTAATAATCCTTTCATTATTGGTAATGTTATCTGGATTGTATATCTCACTATTACATTATTTTGGCTTGTTAAGCAGTTTCCTAGGCCATGGAAGTGATTCTAACGAAGCTACTCCTAGTGGTAAAAGTTGAAGAAAGGCAGAGGAAAATTGGTGATGATGAATGTACATATGGATGACTTGAAGGATAATTAAGTATAGGAATTTTGATGTGTTTATTGTAATTAGGCTTGCAGCTTGCAGCTAGCAGCCCTAGAGTACTTTCATTTTTTAGATTTTATTTAGTTCTATTGTACTCTTGATATTCTATTTATGAAAGAAACAATTTTTGAGTACATATATGTATGGCGTGGGTAATAGCATATTTGAGTATATATTTCTAATACCATTGGAAACAACAGCAAAAAAACTAAAATGTAAAATTACGTCAGTTTTATAGTTCATAACTATCGTCTTTACATCTAATAGACGACGGTTCTTTTAAAAACCGTCGTCTTTATATGAAATAGACGACGGTTAATTACCGTCGTAGTTTGACATTCAAAAAGATGACGGTCGATTTAATGACGGTTTGAAAAAGAAAAAGACGACGGTGTTTCCCCGTCGTCTATTTCAATTTTTGTAGTAGTGAAATTTCTGTGCCCCAAAATATTTTGCTACTGTCATTTGTGTAGAAGATTCAAACAATATATATATATATATATATATATATATATGTGCATACTTAATTCTGCAGATCATTCCTCATGCATCAGTAGTTTAGAGCTGATGAGAAGATACTTGTACATCTAATAGTGCATCTTTTTAATCAACGATTTTTTCATGCAAGTTCTTTGAAAATTGAACAGATGACCCATGAGAGGAATGAGCTTAGAGAGGATAATTCCGCGCGCTGACAGAGTCTCCTGATGACGATCATCAATGGCTTACTTTAGGTGGTCTTCCAACAGAATTTCCTTGGGCCATTATCAACTTGTTTGAAATCATTTAGAATAATGTACGTAATACATACAAGTGGCTTAAACGAGTCAACAGTTTTGGTTCTTTCTAGTTTAAGCACGTATTTGGGTTTTATAATAAAATTTGGGCTTTTATAATGAGCAAGCGAATAATGTATGTAATACATCCAAGTGGCTTAAACGAGTCCCCAATTTTGGTTCTTTCTAGTTTAAGCACGTATTTGGGTTTTATAATAAAATTTGGGCTTTTATAATGAGCAATCAAACAATATTTAGCCAATGGGGGCTTTACCACCATAGTGGTATGTGACCCTCCCATCTATTTTGTAGATATTCATTCAAAGATCATCTCTACAAAAAATTTCGTAGAAATATCTACAAAATAGACGGTTTGAATTAGTGAAATATAGTTATTCTCACATCCAGATGTCTGCACGTGTATTACGCGGGGGATGCCATTGTAAAGAGAAGGAAAGCATGAAGGGCTAGTAGAAAATACATGGCATCCGCACGATAATAATATTCGAACGTCAGCATAGTAGAAAATTTGTATATATATTAATGATTGTTGTAATAGTCTAAGACCAAAAGAAAAAAAAAACAAGAACAACAACCACAAGCATGAAAAAATCTTGTACAGATTTGATTATATATATATATATATATCTTGTACAAATTGAAGTTAAGTCGTAATAGTGTAAGAAAGTACTTAAAAGCTATGATCACGAACAACATGCCTCATTCACCTCCAATCTTAAATAAGATGAACCAGATCAAAAAACCCATCCCAGCGTGTCCTCAGAATATTGTCCACGTCCTCGATCGTTCTGTTACTATGTTTCCTATAATGTTCATAGGTGTTTCGCATAAACCTTAAAAGCTCTGACGGGGTATAATTATATGATTTACTCAGTCTAGACTCATATATATCAGACAAAAACTTCTCCCACTTTTCTCTGTCTGTGAGACTCTGTGTCCCAACCAAAGAACGCTTGAAACATATGCCCCATGTTCATCCTCTCGTCTATATGAAATATATTGTCATGATAAACACTTGTAACATTTTTTACCCTTTCATGAGGAGTCAATAAAAAGGGGTGCTTCTTCAATTTCTCAACATATTTTTTATAGCTAAAAAGACAAAAAAAAAACCCTAAACCCTAAACACACAAATAAGAACAAATATTTCACCAAAAAAATAACGTTCAAAAGAACTCACACCTGAACACTGTAGCTGCGTCAAAACAATTAAGAAATCCATCACGCTCAAGCCATTTAGTACTAGATTCCAGCAGCTTCTTCAGAGTGTCCCTGAACTCTTGGAAATCTTGGATTTTCCTTGAATGTTGATCTTGTACTCCAAGGCCCTCCAAGCAACCATTGATGTTAAATAGTTTCAGTTGGTCTCCAACAACAACATAATTATCATATTCGTTCAACGAACCATGGAACAGTCCACAATCATGAATGTGAGCAATTGCCTCTATTAATTCCCTGTCATATCATGAAATACATTAGTTAACTAAACCATAAGATAATAGCACTAGAACAAAAATACTATTACGCTCACCGTATTGTATGCCGCCAGAAATCAGATAAGCAATTATTTCGAACTTTGGAGTTTAACTTTTCACAATCACTAATGTCGACGTTGCCTTGTAATTTGACCAACCATTCATTGAGGGTGTTATCAAACTTGTCAGAACACAAGCCCCACCATCCCTTCGCCATATTCTTTTCAGCCTCACTGGCACTGCATACATCACCCAATGATTTCTTCTGTTTGCAAAACGTATACATCCATGGACGGAGAATCCTTTCATTAGATACTTTAACGTTCAACCTAAAAATTTCTCCGACACTCAATTTAGTTCTAACAGCATCCATATTCATAAATGTCACGGGCATTCCACCTTGATTATTTTCCTCCAAGAACAGCTCACCATCATAATGTTGTTTCTTGCTAGCATAATCGACACGAAAATTGTAAAAGCTAATACAAGAACCCATTACAATGTATGTTAAATTATTGTCGCTCCATTGTTTTTTAATGTAATCGATGTAATCGTAGTCAATTAAATCACGATC